TTCACTAACTTGACTTAGAAAAATTTCTAACGTATATTGTGAAAGCATAAAACTCCACTTGGGGATTGATTGTTTAATAAACAACACCAATTTGGACAAGTTACTTTTTATTAATGATTATTAAGTGGGGTTTTATTTTTTCACAATATACGTTAGAAATTTTTTCAAGTCTAGTTAGTGAATTTTTAAATGGCATTTTTTGTTAAACATTCCATTTCTAAGTGAGGTTTCATATTTTCACAATAAACGTTAGTAATTTTCTTAAATTGGGTTAGTGAATTCCCAAATCGCGTTAGTGAATCCCATTTCATAAATTACATTTTTTTATCACAATTAAGGACCATGGTCCTTAACTGAGATTTCAAGATTTCACGGTCCGTAATTGAGATTAATGTTCTTATCAGGTCCTCAATTGTCATTCTCCCGAAGATAAATGCAGACCTGCTTCAACAAGTATGCATTCATTAATTAATAATTACCCATGTGCATTTAACAAGCAAGCATGTGTCAATTAATAAGTTCAAAAATTAAAATGACTTGGTTGTGAGAAGAAATAAATGTGGGACCTACTTCAACAAGCGTTTATTCATTAATTAACAGGTATCTATGTACATTTAACAAGCACAAATTTGACAAAGTTTGATTGTGAAAAGGGATAAGTGTGAGACATGTTTTAACAAGCATGCACTCGTTAATTAACAAGTATTCATGTGTATTTAGCACACAAGGGTGTGTTAATTAACATGTACATGAATACTTGTTAATGACCTTCGATGGCCATTGAAAAGTAAGAAGAAAATAAAGGGTAATTATATCTTTTTGCTTTTATGTTTGGTTTGGATAGAAGAAAAAGTAAGAAGAAAATAAAGAGGATTAAAAACTAGGAGAAAAATTTTCCAGAAGCAGTAATTTTTTACTATTTTAAAGAAATGTTGCCTCTTAATTTTCCTCTATCTTTATTTTTCTTTTCATCCAAACCAGGGACAGAGTTAGAAATTTTTATTAAGGGGGCCGAGATGACAAAATATATATGATAATTAACAAAAATTTAAACATATATATATCGTCAACATAATATAAATATTCTAACATATATATTTATATTTAATTTTACACATGTATAACAATATATATATATATATATATATAGTTTTTCTTATCAATTTTTCATGATATAAAATTATTAGTTATTATGTCTACGATAAATGTTTTAAAAATTTCCTTTTCAATATGAATTATCATTAAATTGATGAAAATTTTATCATTCCTCTAAGTATTAAATAATTTAAATACATCATTAGAATATAAAGTTTTATTCAATGTAATAAGCTATATTACTTACTTATTGAATTTACTATTTAATTTTTTTTCAATTGATAGTTGTAGTAAACAAATATATCATCAACACATTAATAATGCTCAATTGTCATAAACTTTTTATGTCAATGGGATCAAATTATATCAGAATAAAAATCATTCATATCACAAATTTTAAAAGTTTAATTATTTAAAAAAAGTATTTTTTTTTAGGAGAACATCTTCACCAAATTTTTTAACTTTTTGATAAGTGATTTTATAATAGATATCAAACACATAATATTTAATATATCTTGACATTTTTGTTGCAATGCTTAATAAAATTTATTAATAATAATTCTAATAATTTCTTCATATATAGCATTATCTTATTGAAAATGAGTAGATCCTATAACAATCATATCTTTAAGTTACTAAAATAGTTACTTTATATATGTGTGTATAAAAGACTACATACAGAATTAAAATAAAAATTTTATCTAGTGTTTCATGACTTTTATGATGTGCTAACTTAGAGAAGCCAAAAAAACATAACCCTTATATTTTACTAAAAAAAAATTAAAAAATTAGAGGGGGCATTGACCGCTGCCAGTCTCCCTTCTCTCCACCTCTAATCCAAACAAATAGTTAGGTATAGCCGGTCATTTAGAGCAAACTCAGAATTATTTGATCCTTTTTCGTAATAAATGTCTTTGGATAGTTGGATGTAATTTTCCCAATAATTAATGATCAAGTGATCATTATGCTAACTTTTCGTGGGGTACATATGTCCTACTTTTTAAAATTGCATTTAGGATAAAAGGACAAAACTGTAAGGGAAGATCCGCGCATTTGCATGGACTCTCAAATAAGATAACTGTTCATCACTACCTGTTAGATATTCTGGAGAAAAAGATTCCTTGTGTCACGTTTCCTTTTGCATAATCCAAATTGTATGTCCCTATTATGAAAATGATTTAACAATGAAGTGCGGTCACGCAACTCTCGTGACAAAATAAGTTTCTGCATTGTAAAATAATTTTTTAATTAAAATTTTAGAAGCTTTATTTGAAGAAAAAAAAATAGTTATACGGAGAAATGAGTTCAAAGCAAAACCCTAATGAAACAATGGAGTTGGATCTAGTAAAATGGGTTAATCTTTGACCATGTAATAATCCAATGTTTGAATTATCATTGGGAGATATGCCCACATTAAGCGCTTGACCTTTTTTCAAACAAGATTTACTTTTTATAAGAGAATACTTGTAAATAATTCAAAAAAAAAATAAAAAAGAGTGCCTTACTTGTATAAGCCAAACTTATTTTGTGATATTTCTTGCTAAAGACTAATAACAATAGCACCCTTATTTTGAAAGAGGCTAGAGACCTCTAATGTGCCTCTCTCTAATTTCATTTGTAATGTCTCACATCAATTTTTTTTTAATCATTAGGTTCTTTATAAAGAAACATTTTAATATCTTGAAATCTTGAAATAGTAAAGTTTTTTTTTACAATTTTTAAAAGAAACATATCATAAAATTTAATATTTTTCTTTGAAAAATCATTAAAAATACAAAAATATATCGTTTTGGTCTTCAAGACATTAAAATGTCTTCTTCTTTTTTTTTTTCCCCTAACTTCATATAGAAAGCAATGATTCAAAGGGGGAAAAAACAGGAAAGACGAGTGCACTAAGACATGATCTTATTAGAACATACGCGTAGTTGTAAAAATGAACACGGTAACCCCAAGGAGTATCCAATTTGAGGAGGATTTTAAAAGGGGGAAAAAGAAAAATTATGAACAAGTTGTAATTTGATATTGAACTGAAAAATATAATACTATTAATTTTACTTTCACTTATAACAATAATTTCACAATGTACAAGAAAAATATTATTAATTCAGAAGTCATTTCTTGTTTAACACTTAGTAATATTTAATGAAGTCTCGAAGTTAATTATGCCTAGCTACTTAAGACTATAGTTGGCCTAATTGGAATGTAATAAAGCTTATTTGAAATTTATATATTTAGCTTACAGTTGTTTAAAGTATGATTAGACTTAATTAATAAAGATCTTGACAGTTAAGGAATTCACTTAAAACTACAATTTCACAATTTATAAGTAAAAATTCATAGTTCACAAGTTAAATTTTTTGTTTAATATAATATATGGAATCTTCATAAAATTAATTATACCAACTTAAAACTATAATTGATCTAATTAGGATGTAAGAAAAGTAATAGAACTCATTTGGAATTTACATATTTAGATTGCAGGTACTTTTAAACTAAATTTAATTAATAAAAATTTTGACAATTAATTTAACTTTCACTCACAACTGCAACTTCATAATTTATAATTTATAAGTAAAAATTCATAATTCACAAATCAAATTTCTTTTTTAATACTTAATATAACATGAAGTATCCATAAACTTAATTATCCTTACTTAAAGCCTATAATTGATTTAATTGAAATGTAGAACTCATAATTCACTCAATAATTATAGCCTTAAACAGGTATAATTAATCTCGTGAAGACTCCATGTTATATGATGCATTAAGCAAGAAATTTGATTTGTAAATTACAAATTACAAATTTTTACTATATATTATGAATAAAAGCCAAATTAACAAGAATATTATTGTCTTTATACCCCATCTCAAATTACACCCAAGTTCTAAACAACTTGACTGGATTTATTTGTAAATAAATTTATTATACAGGATCTATCCGTAATTTTCTTTAAAAAAAACCATTACGCAAGATAAGTTAGCAAAAGCAAAAAATTTAAACCCATGGACTGTCATTTGTACATTAAAAAAAAAAATTACACATTGCAGGGTTCCTTTGGCTCTCTTTTGGCCGCGAAGTCAGAAATTTCTCTATCAACAAAAAGCCGAGTGAAAATCCAGCTAGCATGCTGCAACATTTTTTTTTTTTAAACTTTTCCCCTCTCTCATGCCTAGGTATTACATTTTTCTTATTTACAAGGAAGGAATGCAACAAACAACTACTACATGAATCAAAGTTTGGTGGGTGTCCGTTGATCTATTTATCTAGCTCTAGATCTTTGAGTTGCTTTTTCAAGAGGGCATGCTCGTACCTCATTCTCTCAAGCCTAGTCTCAATCATGTACATCTCATCTTTCAGGAAGTGAATCCTTTTCTCCAACCAAGCTATATCTGAAGCGCTTCTGCTCACTCCATATTCCATCCTGTTGATATAATCTGTTGGACTGCTCACATGGATCTGTTGGGGCCTCGACAACAGTATAAGTATGCTAAACTGCTGCAACAGAATCAGAGGTTAGAACTGTCCCATGAATCTATGTAACTGCTGCAACAGAATCAGAGGTTAGAACTGTCCCATGAATCTATGTACAATACTCCCTCCGAACCACAATATAAAATATTTTCTAGAAGTCCTACTTAATCCAAAATATAAGGCATTAGGTAAGTTTTATATTTTTTTTTTCCAATCATACCTATAATTGGAAAAATGTGAAAATTTTTAAAAAAATCAACATTTTAACCACCTTTTTTTGGAAAACGTAAATTATTTAAAAATGAATTATATTTGGGTCCGGAAGGAGTAACTCATAAAAAGTCAAGGCAAGATAAGGCTGACTAATTGAAGCATTATAGTGAAGAAGTACGCACCTGCATAAAGAAGATAACAGCAAAAATGATTACTAGGAATAGCGAGAGATGGCTCTGACTTTTTAAACAAGCCCGGAACTTTGTCACGCATTCTCTTAACATTCATGAAATAGACGTTGAGTCAATCAGATTTCCTTGCAACTGGTTGTCAACGTTGCGATTAGAACGAACGATGTCAGATGAAAGGGGTAGAATTCCAGGGTTATTTGGCTCTTGTGAACTCTCTGAAGATCCTCCGGCTATTTGTTCACCATCTAAATATACTGCGCTAGTTTGTGCCCCACCAGCAGTAGGAGCGCTCTCTGCATCATGAAGAGAAAATTACTTGAACCTATCATAATTAAAATTTGAAAAGTGCAAAATCTTTGGATTGATAGATAAGACAAATAATAAACTTTGCAAATATCAAACCTTCTTGTTTTTCAAGGTTCTTTTGCTTCAACAACTCATGAGCCTGACAGAAATGAAATTAGAGATACTCAGACACAGATAATAGTGGAGAACATTGTTGAATACACAAAAAAACACGTTTAACAGATCATATGAACTTGCCATGTTTATCCATGTAGCATAAGCTTCGCGACATTCTTCAATTGTTGACTGTACTATTTTGCCTGCAATTATTTACAATCACTTGGAGTTATAAAAAGTTCGATTTATGACTTTAAAAGCAATGCAAACATCCAAATGAACTCAATGCATTAAATATGAGGATTGTGCCCGGGTGAGAGTGAAAGAATGTGCACTGAGCAAACTTCTAAAGATTCAATGAAAATGAATGTCAATCTCCTCAGAGATAGATCAGACACTTGAAAATGACATTATTTTAAAGAATAATTATTATGACAAAAGAGGGTTAAATTATAGTCGTCAGAAACTAGTGAAAAATTGGAGATAAAAACTAGGCAACTCGTGAAGACACAATCATATCAGATTAAAATGAATCGTGTGCAAATTGTGTCTATTTGTTGCAGAAAAAAATGAGTTATGTGAGTCTACACAACATATATCATGCAACGATTCAAAAAATATGTAATTTATGCAGAAAATATAGTGCATCATAGATCAAGAGAAGATAAAAGATATGTAAAAGTTTTATACATATACAGTTATACATGCAATTGCAGTGCAGTTATGAGGCTGAACTCAGACATTATCATGAATCTAATTAAGACATTGACATTGTTCAATGACATACATTTTTTTCCCATAAAACTACAAATCACTAGACATCCATCTAAGAAAGCTCTAGATCCAAGAAAGTTCCTTGTTCATATAATATGAACTTTGAGTTGATTTATCCTGAGCTGAAATCATAATTAAGCATTATATATTCAGGATGAACTCATCTGCCCACGAATAGCATGTAAAACCAAATGGCTACATAGCAGATGTAATTAACAACTTTGTTTACTATGCAATTTATAAATTTAAGATGTGACTTTCTCTATATTCTTATATGACCGGCTACAAAACAAATGTATCATAGCAGATGCAACAGTGTCATAAATCTGAGCCATTTAATGTTATAACGGATGAACATCAACAAGTTACAAACCACAAAGTCTTGATGCAACATAAGGTAATAATGAGAAAAGATGATAACCCAAACAAACCAAGGTTATATATGAGTAAACTATATACTAAAGGAAAACTGAACACCTTTCCATATAGTGTTCTTCTAAAATGCAACATCCACATAAACCCGCAAAACACATCACTCTTTGGATTCATTGTTGTCTTTCTGGACATCCCACCATCCCTGGTCATAAATGAGGAAAGTACTTTCTAAGCAAAAACTACAAATGATTAGGGCAAACGTTCTTGGTGAATAGACACTTGAAAATATTAAATGTACTAAAGAGGGACACATGAAGAAACTCAAAAGCAACATGGTTGTTCAATTTTTTTTTTTGGGTGAATACCTGGTTGTTCAACTTTAAATATTATTATTTATTCTTCAATGTAAACTACATTTCCCAAGCCAAATAAAAGGATTCCTTTAGAGCTTTGTTTGTTCTCCTAGAGTCACAAGCCAAATAAAAGGATTCCTTTAGACCTTTAAAATAGTCTATGCATTTTGAGGCATCCTTATGTCCCTCCTGACCCTCCATAATATTCTACTTTCTCCTTGTCCTTTGTCCATGCGCTACCTGACAGAAGTATATACAAATTATCATGCTTATTCTGCCACTTCACTGCCAGCCCATACTTGTTCTCGGGTCAGGCCCAGCACCATTTGTTTTTCCCGAGACATACATGAGATATGTTTCATCCTCTTTTTGGGTTGGATTTCTTTCTTCTAGAGTATAATCTTCCACATAGCCAACTAATTCTGATAGATACTTAGTAGTATGAATACTAAATCCTACATCAGTATGGAAGGCTCAATGAGCTATTTAAGTGGGTTTGCTCTTCCACTTCAACAACTAGCTTTTGGAGTAAAGTTCCCTATCCTACCTAGGTATCCATCAATAATGAATATAAGCTCTTAAATATTAAACAAATTTAGAGTGATTTTTGAAGACATATTATGAGATTTTTGCTAATAAAATGATACTTCATATAAAAAGAATACAAAATTATTTTATCTCATCCAACAATTTTTTTTGAAAAAAATTATAAAATCTCAATATTTAATATAAAAAATTGAAAAAAATCAAATAATCATATTCTGTCTGACCATGGTTTTGCAGCTGCAGCTTGGGCATTCTCTAGGGTTTTATGAAGCTAGCTTAGAAGGCTTTGTGTCCATTGACTCAATTGAAAGGAGAATTATCTTCTTGTTTTCATCTTGATATAAAAGCACCCATGGATCTGAACCCTAGAAGAATGATCCCTTCTGGAATGGTGAGAGCCATGAACGTGAGCTCAAGAAGCACCAACTCTTATTTAGAAATGCAAGATGGTAATATTCAATAGACAACCATCACAATGACGAGCTCTAGTCTGAATTTCTTCTGTCAGTATATATTTGAATGTTCACATTCATCAACACCTCGTCTATATATAAGTCATTCAATGGGCTGATAGTAGCTCAAACATTTCCTTGAACTTTTCAACAGAGCCATCCTTTCTCGATGGCATTAACCTTTCTTAAATATCACCATCCGGTGATAATGATACCTGTCCAGCAACTCCTTAAATTATTGCCAATTCCTGATCAGTGTTGTGGCTTCTAGCCATTAGAACTGGGTTAAGGCATCTGCACCCCCAAAAAGAAAGGGGGCAAAAAACCAAAATTAGCAGCCTCAACATACTTCTTTCCTTCAATGATGCCATTCATAGAGAAGTATCTCTCCACCTTGAACAACCATTCTTTCAGGTCTTGATAGGGGGAAATGTCAGGGTTATTTTATCCCTAGTTTAAGATAATTAGGATAATTTACATAAAGTTATTTTAATTAGGATATCTTGGTTACTTTTTAAATGAAATTAGTTGGATTAAAACTTTGTAGGATATATAGGATTTATCTTATCACCCTGCCTTATCTTAGTTTAGATTATTTTGATTATTTGGATAGCTATACTCTATAAACACGCCCTAGATATTTTGGTGTTAGACCTTTTTCATGATTTGTATAAGTTATTTAGTTAGTCATCTACTCCTTTTCTTTTACTTCACCCTCCTTTCTTTCTCCCTTTCTCCTTTCCTCTACCTTATTCTATGTTATATAATCATAATATTGAAATATTAGTTGCTATTATTGTTAGTTGGTTAGTTATAATTGTTGAGGGATATAGCCGTTAATAGGTAGACTGTTAGTAGCTGTTAGGGGGTATCCTTATTTCTATAAATACTCTACAATTCAATTGTAATCATTATGAATTATCAATGAAGCTTGTGCACTATTCAGCCTAATCCTCTTGTCCATCTGTTTCTCTTTCTCTCTAATTCCTCTCTATCTCTTCTACCTTCTTTGTTATTCTCTCCATTTCTCCTTGTCCTCTCAATTTCTCTCTATATCAAAATTACGCTGATATAATAGTGGCATCAAAGCAAGTCATCCTCGGGCATGGCACATCATTCATTCTAAGAATATAAGGATGACCACTAGATGTGGCTTTGTCAATGGGAGAGTGTGAAAGAATTCAATGAATTCTTTAATAGCCACACTAGTGGATTAAAATTGCAAGAAAAATATTTAGTTTCTGTGTATGTGGTTGGGCTCAAGCTAGGACTTATAGAACCAATGTGTCTCTTCAAACCAAGAATGATGCAAGAAGCTAGAAGCCTTGCGAGAATGCAAGAAATCATGCTAATGCATAAGGCAAAAGAGAAGGCACAAGCACTTCAGGATAATTATAGGTCATGAGTTTTTAGAGAGGGATGAAGGAAGTATACCTCAACAAGATTGTGGGAATTAGCAAGCCAAGAATGGCATTAGAAATCATGGGGATCCTGCAAATAGAACAATTGATGTTGAAGTTAGGTACAAGAACTGCAAGTCAATAGCAGTAATTTCAAGAAGGTTTCTTTGTACGAGTTGGAAGGTGAAGTAGGCTCTAGCATCTCTAACCATGACTTCTCAAGCTCTTTCACTGCTGGTGTGGGTAAAACCGTCAATCTTGACTTGAGTTTGGGTACCCAACACTGTTCAAAACTTCAGTATTGCCCACTTACAGAGCCATCGTCACCCTTTATTCCAACTTTCCCTTTGCCTTTATTTCGGGTCAACACATCATTACCTATTTCTGTTTTTCTGCCACCACCACAAGCTTCTCCATTGCTATCTCTTGTTTTTAGGGTGTTACCGTTGCTGTCTTCTCTGGTTTCCCCATTGCAGTCTAATTCTGTAACTCCAAAAACAGCATGGTTGTTTGCTCCATCGTCACCACCACCTTTTGTCCTCTCATCAGTGTGTGCATGTTTTACCCATGCCTATCTAAAGACTCTAGACTTCTCACATCTACAGGACTTGGGTGAACTTTTCATAACAAGAAGGGAATGTGAGAGTAAGCTTTAGTGGGTTTTTTGTCTACACACGTGGCTGCATAGGTCAAAGACAGGTATCTTTCATATCAAGTGGGTGTAGTTTTAATGGATGGCAGCTAACACTGATGGTCAATACATGGATTTAAGTTTCAAGAAAGAAAAAGGAACTACTCCCTGATTTTTCTATTCAGAAGGTCATGTGGCTAGGTCTTATAAAGGTTGAAAAGTCAAAACCTATTTTGTCATGTAGGTGGAAACTTCAGATGTAGAAGCTGTACCTTTTCTCCTTATTGAACTTGTACTAGCTTTTGAATTGGGATAATTGCGTGGGCCCAATGCCATTCAAAGGCATTACAATCAACCCATTGAAAAATTTGTCTTATTGGGCTTTTCTTTGTCTTCAACTCCTCCCTACCCACTTGTTTGTTTTTCTATGGCACAGAGGAGGATTACTAAAAATTCTTTTGGGCTCAAGCATGGTGCTCATTATTTCTATTTATTCAGCGTCAACAGTAACCAATGACAGTGCACAGTAATTGTGAACAGTGACAGAAAACAATGAACAATAGCTTCTAAAAGTTTAATGCTCTCTTTCCAATATTTCAACAAGGTTCCCTCAAATTGCTACACATAACCTTTGAGGACAAAGGTCTCTTGGGAAGGGGGTATTGTTATATAATCATAATATTGAAATATTAGTTGTTGTTATTGTTAGTTGGTTAGTTATAACCGTTAATAGAGATAAAGTCGTTAATAGGTAGACTATTAGTAGCTGTTGGGGGTATCCTTATTTCTATAAATACCCTACAAGTCAATTGTAATCATTACGAATTATCAATGAAGCTTGTGCACTATTCAGCCTGATCCTCTTGTCCCTTTGTTTCTCTTTCTCTCTAATTCCTCTTTATCTCTTCTACCTTCTCTATTATTCTTTTCATTTCTCCCTATATCAGAATTATGATGTTATAACATCCTAATTTGTAATGACCAAATTTTTAAACTGACAAGACTTGGAATAAATTATAATGACCATAATGGCCCTTGATTTTCTCTTCTAATAAAAATTTTATTTAAATTAGACCTATAGCAAGTAGAGGATGGTGATTTATAGGAATTTATTCTAATTTATAGGAATTTATTCTAATAACTTTTACGGGGATTCAAAGTTAGAATTTTATTAACCAAGTTTGGTTTTATTGTTAATTATTGAAAAAATTTTGTGCTTTTTTTATAATTTTTCCTTGGACCTCTCTTGTAAATTTCCCAAATACTTTCTCGTTAGATTTTTTATTCTTTCTCTTTCCCATTTGAATGCGAGAACGGAACAGAGGAAGGGCGAAGAAGTCTCTAGAAAATTGTCACAGTCTTCTTCCTCTCCTTCTCCTCCTTCTCGCTCGCGTCTCTTGTTCCTCACCCTCGGTCTGTGTCGTTCTCACTGCCACCCTCTTCTCCATCTTGTTCGTCCATTGAAGGGGGTAAGTAGCTGATTTCTTTCCCTGTTATTGCTCTCTGTTTCATCCCTGGTTCGATCTGTGAGTAGTCTTCAAGTTTCTTTCTTCCTCAATAGCTGAAAGTTTCGTGTGTGAATGGTAGCTCAACTCTTTCTTCTACTGGTCAAAATTTCATGTAGTAGGCTGAGATTCTTCTATTGTTTTCTTCATCAGCGTTGGTCAGGTGTTGGCTCTTAGTTGCTACACTAAAGTTTTGTTTGAGGTAGGCTGTTGGTTTTTCTCTACTTCCTCTTTGATTTCTATAGCAGAATGAATTACTCTCTTCTTCCTTGGTCGAAAAGCACCTCCTTATTCCTCAGAATTGCTGTCAAAATTTTGAGGAAATTAAAATATGTTTCGATTGATGCTATACACATTTTTGTTGTGATGCTAAGCAAAATGTTGATGATAAAGTTTACGCGGAAAGTGGATTAATTGGTTAGATGAATATTGTGTGCCAAAATTGGATGTTCTTAATATACTTGGGGAAATGCTTGAGTGAAGAATTTAGGTGATGTTTTGGATAATACTGGATGATATTTTATTAATATTGAGCTAAAGATTGATGAAAAAAATTAAATGTGAGAAATTGTTGGGTTTGCTTGGAAGCTTGCCCCATGATTTAATTAATAGTAAATGTTCTCATAGTGCTTATAAATATGCTTGAAAGATTTGTTGGTGGAAATGAGATTGTAAAATTTTTACAGTAGAACCTATATGAATTATGAATATAACTTGAAGGAGTACATGTAATTTTTAAGATTTTAAAAATACTAATATAGGAGAAAGGAATGTATCGAATGGTTGCATGCTATGTTATTAAATCTAAAGGAAGCATGGGAATGGTTAATATGAGTTATTATGACTTGTGGTTGAGAATATATGTTACAGGCGATATGAGGATGAATTGAGAATTGTTCCAAGTTTAACTAACTCAAGTATACTTGAAACATCATTGGTTATAATATTGTTTTTAATATCGTTTGGATTGAATTTAAATGCCATTAAGTGTTTGGAAAAATTACTTGATAAGTGATTTTAAAATTATAATTTATTTGTCAGGAAAGTAAGAGCAACACTAGAATTAAAGAGAAAAGTTAAGAGATGCAAGTTTTAGAATTTTGAGAAACCTTCAGGTGAGTGGGTAGTGTGCTAAATATTTTCTTACAAAGTGTTCATAAATTATTTATTTAGTTTTTACATTATTCTTTTATAAGTTGTATAAATATTGTCAATTTTAAGTTTAGGATTCATATAATTCTTTTTACTTACCTAACTTTTATGTTAATCGGCTATTACAAAATCTACTTTATATTAATTAAGAATTATGTTATTGTTAAAGAATATTTAGATTCGGTATATTATTAATAGAATATTTATTCTAAACTTCTTTGTTGTTTAAACTTTATGATTTATATCACAGTTATTAAAATGG